GAAGAAAGCCAAGAGCATGAGCATCGCTTATTGGGGGGTAGTCACACCAAGCAGTCCCAGGAAAGCAAAGAGCATCAGCATCGCTTATTGGGGGGTAGTCACACCAAGCAGTCCCAGGAAAGCAAAGAGCATGAGCATCGCTTATTGGGGGTAGTCACACCAAGCGGTCCCAGGAAAGCAAAGAGCATGAGCATCGCTTATTGGGGGGTAGTCACACCAAGGAGTCCCAGGAAAGCAAAGAGCATGAGCATCGCTTATTGGGGGGTAGTCACACCAAGCAGTCCCAGGAAAGCAAAGAGCATGAGCATCGCTTATTGGGGGGTAGTCACAGCAAGCAGTCCCAGGACAGCAAAGAGCATGAGCATCGCTTATTGGGGGGTAGTCACACCAAGCAGTCCCTGGAAAGCAAAGAGCATGAGCATCGCTTGTTGGGGGGTAGTCACACCAAGCAGTCCCAGGAAAGCAAAGAGCACGAGCATCGCTTATTGGGTATGACACATTTCAGGCCGGAAATGTGTCATCGTTTCCGCCTTACAGAAAGAAGCATGACACATAACCCTGGAGAACCCTGGGCCCTAAACCCTAAAGCCCAAACCCAAGGCCCTAAACCCTAAAGCCCGAACCTTAGGCCCTAAACCCTAAAGCCCAAACCCTAGGCCCTAAACCCTAAAGCCCAAGCCCTAGGCCCTAAACCCTAAAGCCCAAACCTTAGGCCCTAAACCCTAAAGCCCAAACCCTAGGCCCTAAACCCTAAAGCCCAAACCCTAGGCCCTAAACCCTAAAGCCCAAACCCTAGGCCCTAAACCCTAAAGCCCAAACCCTAGGCCCTAAACTCTAAAGCCCACACCCTAGGCCCTAAACCCTAAAGCCCAAACCCTAGGCCCTAAACCCTAAAGCCCAAACCCTAGGCCCTAAACCCTAAAGCCCAAACCATAGGCCTTAAACCCTAAAGCCCAAACCCTAGGGATTGACCGGTGAATTCCCAGATCATTGGTCGGATTGACCGCCCATTCCCAGATTATTGGTCGGATTGACCGCCCATTCCCAGATCATTGGTCGGATTGACCGGTGAATTCCCAGATCCAGATCATTGGTCGGATTGACCGCCCATTCCCAGATCATTGGTCGGATTGACCGGTGAATTCCCAGATCATTGGTCGGATTGACCGCCCATTCCCAGATCATTGGTCGGATTGACCGGTGAATTCCCAGATCATTGGTCGGATTGACCGCCCATTCCCAGATCATTGGTCGGATTGACCGGTGAATTCCCAGATCATTGGTCGGATTGACCGCCCATTCCCAGATCATTGGTCGGAATTGACCGGTGAATTCCCAGATCATTGGTCGGATTGACCGCCCATTCCCAGATCATTGGTCGGATTGACCGGTGAATTCCCAGATCATTGGTCGGATTGACCGCCCATTCCCAGATCATTGGTCGGATTGACCGGTGAATTCCCAGATCATTGGTCGGATTGACCGCCCATTCCCAGATCATTGGTCGGATTGACCGGTGAATTCCCAGATCATTGGTCGGATTGACCGCCCATTCCCAGATCATTGGTCGGATTGACCGGTGAATTCCCAGATCATTGGTCGGATTGACCGCCCATTCCCAGATCATTGGTCGGATTGACCGGTGAATTCCCAGATCATTGGTCGGATTGACCGCCCATTCCCAGATCATTGGTCGGATTGACCGGTGAATTCCCAGATCATTGGTCGGATTGACCGCCCATTCCCAGATCATTGGTCGGATTGACCGGTGAATTCCCAGATCATTGGTCGGATTGACCGCCCATTCCCAGATCATTGGTCGGATTGACCGGTGAATTCCCAGATCATTGGTCGGATTGACCGCCCATTCCCAGATCATTGGTCGGATTGACCGGTGAATTCCCAGATCATTGGTCGGATTGACCGCCCATTCCCAGATCATTGGTCGGATTGACCGGTGAATTCCCAGATCATTGGTCGGATTGACCGCCCATTCCCAGATCATTGGTCGGATTGACCGGTGAATTCCCAGATCATTGGTCGGATTGACCGCCCATTCCCAGATCATTGGTCGGATTGACCGGTGAATTCCCAGATCATTGGTCGGATTGACCGCCCATTCCCAGATCATTGGTCGGATTGTCCGGTGAATTCCCAGATCATTGGTCGGATTGACCGCCCATTCCCAGATCATTGGTCGGATTGACCGGTGAATTCCCAGATCATTGGTCGGATTGACCGCCCATTCCCAGATCATTGGTCGGATTGACCGGTGAATTCCCAGATCATTGGTCGGATTGACCGCCCATTCCCACATTGGTCGGATTGACCATTCCCAGATCATTGGTCGGATCATTGGTCGGATTGACCGGTGAATTCCCAGATCATTGGTCGGATTGACCGCCCATTCCCAGATCATTGGTCCGGATTGACCGGTGAATTCCCAGATCATTGGTCCGGATTGACCGGTGAATTCCCTAAAGGTTTAAATAACATAGGTAGAGAGGGTTTAGGGTTCAGGGTTTAGGGTTTAGGGTTTAGGGTTTAGGTTTTAGGGTTTAGGGTTTAGGGTTCAGGGTTTAGGGTTTAGGGTTTAGGGTTCAGGGTTTAGGGTTTAGGGTTTAGGGTTCAGGGTTTAGGGTTTAGGGTTTAGGGTTCAGGGTTTGCCGTAGAATGGCGCATAAGCGGGAGTAGCTTGCGACAGTGTAATTTCGAGTGCATCGTCCTCAAGCGATTCAACGTTTGAGCCTGATTGTGGTTGGCTCTTTTTATTCACTCTCCCACCCCACGCCGTCTAAGGCGGCCAAACCACCCATATTCCTTTTAGGGTTTAGCACCTAAACTCAGTCTACGGTTTTCTTTTTCTTCAACCTCAGGCGGGGCAAAGCAGGGCAGGGCCAGGGTAGGTGAGGGGGCCAGGGAGGCCAGAGAGCCAAGGCAGTTGGTCAATACAGGTCGGGGTCAAAAGGGGCCAGGGGGGGCCAGGGGGGCCAGGGCGGGCCAGGGGGGTCAGGGGGGGCAAGGGGGGCCAGGGAGGGGCCAGGCGGGCCAGGACGGTGCTCCCCCTAGGACCCGCCTGGAGGCCCCTGGGTCCTCGAACTCTGGTTGCTGCAGGCCCCACGCCCCCCCTGGGGGGTGCCTTTTTGGAGGGGGGCCCAAATGGCTTGGTCCTCCATGTTGAAGGGGGTGGGGTTTAGGGTATTTACTTTAATAGGGACCAGTACTGGTCCCGAGGAGAACCTGCTCCGGTACCGAGTGCATCGTCCTCAAGCGATTCTTATTCACTCTCCCACCCCACGCCGTCTAAGGCGGCCAAACCACCCAAACCTATTCCTTGGAGGGTTTAGCACCTACCTCAGGCGGGGCAAAGCAGGGCAGGGCCAGGGTAGGTGAGGGGGCCAGGGAGGCCAGAGAGCCAAGGCCGGTCAAAGGGGGGGGGGGGGTGTTCAATACAGCAGGGTGGGGGGCCTTGGTCAATACAGCAGGGTAAAGGCAAAAAAAACAGTTTTTGTCCCCCCAGATGGCTTGGTCCTGCATGGTGAAGGGGGTGGGGTTTAGGGTATTTACTTTAATAGGGACCAGTACTGGTCCCGAGGAGAACCTGCTCCGGTACCGGGCCTGACGTGGGTGCTACTGTCCCCATGGCTGTGGAGAGGCGGGCAAGCGTCTTGGGTCGCTCTGCGCCATCGAGGTCGAGGGGCTTAAGCACCGCCCAGCCACAGTAGGTGGGCGGCCTATGCCTTGAGTTTAGGTTTTAGGGTTTAGGGCTTAGGGTTCAGGGTTTAGGGTTTAGGGTTTAGGGTTCAGGGTTTAGGGTTTAGGGTTTAGGGTTCAGGGTTTAGGGTTTAGGGTTTAGGGTTTAGGGTTTAGGGTTTGGGTTTAGGGTTTAGGGTTTAGGGTTTAGGGTTTAGGGTTTAGGGTTTGGGTTTAGGGTTTAGGGTTTAGGGTTTAGGGGGGTGCAGGGTCCATTCAGGAATGCTCCATCACAAGTACACATCGCGGTTACCCTGAACCCGAATCCCGCGGTTAAAGCCGGGCCTGTGCATGGAGATTCTCAAGGGCTGGCTGGAAACTGCCTCGACGCAGGGTTCAGGGATTAGGGTGCAGGGTTTCTTTTTTCTGAGGGCCTTTTTGTAACTGCACTAGTCTGTATCCGTCGCAGCCCATAAGGTGCAGGGTTTAGTGCTTGGGGTTTGGGGTTCGGGGGCTTAGGGTTCAGGGCCTCGACGCAGGAGCTGGTCTTCGTTCTCGTCTTTTGGAGCAGCCGTGGCTGGATCCTCGGCGGCCCACTGCAAGCGATTCTCTAAGGCTTATGCGATAGAGGGCCCTTAATAATCTGAACAGAGTTTGGGGTACACAACACGAAAATAACGGAGGGAACCCTAAACCCTAAACCGTACTATATGGAGACAAGTTAAGTAAAGCAACCTCAGAACTGCAATTTTAATCAAGAGTCCTATGAAACCATACTCATCATGAGGACGCCGAAGAAACACTAGTCTTAATGATTTAAGCTTCCGGGCACTTTAGGGTTTTCAGTTGGTTTTAGTGGATTTTTGGGAGCAGCTGTGAAAGGATCTTTTGACCCCGCGACCCAGACCCTGCAAGAATCCTAAAAGTAGATCCCATAATAATAACGGGGTTCTGGTAGAGTACCCTGTAGTAGTATGGGGTCTCTACGCTTGTAACCCTACTGGGGTCTGGGAGGTTTCGGAAGTTCCGACATACCTCGAGCCCTCAGAGAGGATCCGTCGTCGAGGGGATTTAGGGTTTAGTGTCGAGGTTATAGGGTTTACGGCTGAGATATCAAGAGATCGAATAGATTTGGGGCTGCGGATTCGATGACGGAACCCCTCCGCAGCGAACACCCAACTACTCTGAATCTTGCAACCGGAAGTCTAGCAAACCTATATTATCTTACGATATATATATATATATATATATATATATATATATAATAGTATATTGTAGTATATTACACCGTCACATAGTACACTATATCATTGTAGAAAGCCTGGACAGAGCCAAGCGTCCTGATAGCGGTGGATTCGAGATGCGATCTCCGCCACCTGCCTCTCTTGCAAACCTTCTGATGCTAGAGGTGTGAATGGCAAGGCCAGCACTGTGCACAAGTTTCGAAAAACCTGGGCCGGGATGCAGTGAGCAAGAACCTAGAGAGCCCAATACCCCTCAATTCAGGAATATTCCTTAAACTATATTAGGGGTCCTACTAAAATTGGTCAAGCGAGGGGGCTTAAGGTTTTCAGAGGGCTGAGAATCCTCAGGTCCCCATGCCGGTCCCCAGAGGGCTGCATAGAGGATTCGTTTTTCTTTGTCTGGTCTAGATAAAGGAGACCACATCCAACCCTCAGACGACCCCAATCAAGGATCCTGTGTGCTCTACAACATGGTCGCAACCGTCTGTCGCAAAGCGTTGAGCGTTAGGAAGGTCTCACAAGGGTTCTGCAAGGAGCTCTATTCAGTTTTACAGTGCTGCTACGACGATCAACAATTTCGAAGACTATCATCGTTACTAGAAGTGTAGCTTTCTGTTCGTACTATCATGAAAGTATCGATATTGCTCTCGTGTTCTAGATATCAACATTTGCTATCTCGGGTGCAAACGTGCCCGACCACCCAGCTTACAGATATTGAAAAGTTGTCTTGCCGATGGTTTGCAGTCCACGCATTGCTACCATTCCTATCCCCAAATAACAGACAATCTTATAAGTTCTCCTTTTGACGAGGCTGTCTTATGAGAAAAAACCCTCCTGCTTTCGCCAGCTTGTCAACACCCTCCCAAATCCGAAAAAATGTAAGCCCTGGACCCCAAGACCATCAAGCTCTATATCCCGAATCTCTAGTTCCAAGGCCCCCAACACCTAAATGACTTCAACAGGACCTATTGGCTTTACGGCAAAGGAGAAAACCCCTAGAGTAGAGGGCTTTGGAAAGCTCTCTAACATTTTGTTCTGGTGTATAGTAGAGTATGAATTTGGTACCGAAACCCTGAACCTTATTCCCTGAATCCTAACCCTAAACCCTAAACCAAAAACTTTCAACCCTAAACTCCAAAGCCTAAACCCTCCACCCTAAGCCGTAGATTCCCAAACAAAATGTACTTCATTCGCCAGAAGAAGCCTGATCCTGGTGTGCCGGCCCGCCAGGAGGAGCACGGCAGCCGAACTTCTTCTTCATACTATCCTGAGTTTAGGGTTTAGGCTTTTGGGTCTTACAGGATGTTATACGCTGGTACGTGGGCTTTAATAAAGTTCTTGAAAGTTGTATATGGGGCTTGAAGAATCTGATACGGTTATACAGGGTTGCAATGCGATACGGTTTTGTAAGGGTTGCAATGCCAAGATGTGACCACGCATGAATGCAAATCTCCCAGGAGTCCCAGGAGCCACCTAAAAGCAAGACCACCTTCGACCTAAAGACCCCAAACCATAAAATCGTAAACTCCAGGCCTCGGAAACCCACAAAACTATGCTCGAAAACCTGGAAAACCTGAAGCCCAAGCGGGCTCCCAGCGTGCCACCTCGCGTCGACGTTTGGAACTTCGAAGTTGGAGTCGGCAACCTAATGGCAGTCATAGGGTTTAGGTTTCTTTGTTGCACAGGCTTTGGGTTGAGGGTTTAGCTTTGAGGGTTTAGGGCCCGGGTTTAAGCCAGAGTTCCGAGAGACTCCGCAACCGCTCCACTAAGGACGAGACTTTAAGTAGAAACCCTAAACCCCTAACCACACCAGCTCTGTCATTTAGGGTGCATTGCTTTCTTGTGGGCTTTAGGAATCCCTGGGTCTGGGGTTTAGGTTAATGATTTTAAATGTAGGTAAGGGTTTAGGGCCTAGGTTAGAGGTTCAGGGTTCGGGTTTAGCCCACGATAAAGTACGGAGCTATCGTAGTCTCTGACGACCCTTATGAAACCCTTCCAAAATCCGATAGGTCTCTCACGCAACCCAACTTAAAGTTTAAGAGTTGCGAGAAAAAAAAGGATCCTTATACGAGAAAATACTTCCTGCGGAGATCCTGGTAGCCACTGGCACCAATTCCAAGGCCCGTTTTGACGAGGTACAAGTCTGAGTAGCATACCTGGGTTGGTTTCATCGGGGTTAAGGATTCGCGTTTAGGGTTGGTTTTGTATGGATTCTGATCGGATTCGTTTACAGCTGTTTCGAACGCTTTCCGCTTCTGCCGGTGCTCTGTGTAGCTTTCTTGGTTAGGGTTTAGGGTTTAGCACTTGGGGTTCAGGGCTAAGGGTTGAGCGACTTGACTATAGGGCTTGGGTTTCGGGTTAAGAGGTGAGCGCATGGGGTTTAGGACGCTCTTCAATGCAGCCGGCAAAACCCGAGGCTTCCATAAGAGCTGATGTTCTAGAAGGGTTCGTCAGTGGTCTCAGAACCTCAACGACGTAATCAGTATAAGAAATCCCCGTTTTACGATCGCTTCATATTTCGGTACGTTGTCCAGTTTCTTAGCAGCTGCCCAGATGCAGGAGAAGCTTGATGAAATCTTCGTCCCGGAGGATGCCACGGAAAAGCAAGGCAATGAGGTAGTAGGCAAAAGGCTTGCATGTGGCAATCTGCTGAAAATCGTGCACAACCTCGCACTCGACATGGAGGTGTGCTTGTAGAAGAATTTGAAAGACCTCGCAAGTGGACAAATACTCTGCCTCCATATAGGAGCTCAAAACGAGAATCCGGGGTCGTGAGACATGTCCGGCCGTCTTGCTCGTCGTTCGACGAGACGACAATCCACAGACGTTCATAAGCTCCACGACCACCTTTTCCCTGCCACAAACCTGGGAAGTTCTAGCTGTGAGCATGCCGTTCTATGTGAGCGACTGGCACCGGACATGATCCAATTCAGCTACAAACGGGTGCTCGGTGTTTAGGGCTAAAGCTTAGGGTTTAGGAGCCATGAGCCTTTCAGAAGTCTGCCATGCAGCAAAATAGATGTCACAAGTACGACAACAGTTATGACGAAGACACATCATAAAAAAAAAAAACATTCATCACTTAGGAAAATAAGCGACCCCAACATGCAACCCTGCATAGCAGGATCTTGATTGCAACGACCCCTAGTTTTCGAATCCACTGAAACCATATAAAGCCTGTTTATAAATGTCACAAACCCCTATAAGCGTCTATCAAACGCTGAAAGAGCCCCGAAAAAGCCCAAGCCCTAAACCCTAGCCTTCAAACACTTCTGAGATCCGCGCTGGACCAAAGCGGGCCATTTGGAGAGGAGTTAGCTCATGCTGCAGCCATGAATAAGCCTCGGTTGTAGGGTTCAGGGCTTAGAGTTTTCGGGGTTTACGGTTCAGGGTTTTTGTCTTGTAAATTCCTAAAGAGTGCTTTGTAGGATTCTATGAGGATAAAAAAAGCTTCTTTCAAGGGTTCCTAAAGGATCCTAGAGGTAGGTTTGGGCTTCAAGTCTTTAGGGCCTCAGGGTGCACAAGCCTCGGTTCTAGGCCTATTCTTGGTTTTGAGGCTTCAGGGCTTTACCGCCTACTGTAGGGTTTGTGGTTGTGGGGCGTTAAGGCGTTGTCTGGTTGCCCGCGCAAGGGCCCCGACACAATATCTGTGCAGAGACACCTCTTCAACAGACTATGACCCAATTTGCATCAAAAATCTCCCACTGTGCCACCGAGGGTGCCAAGTTCACATCATCAAGCTGGATCCCGTAGCTTGCCAATTGTGCCTGGGCTCTTGTTAAGGAACCTCGATTGTGCTAACAATGTAGGCACACACAAGGGCTTTTCTGTGGGTGCTATGAGGCTCCTATAGGCGATAAAAGGAGGCAGATAAACTGACTAACCCCCAAACCTGCACCATGTTCCCCTTAAACCCAAACCCTACACCCTGTTCCTTCTTTTTGTGACTTGAACAAGACTCCTTAACAAGCGCCTGGGTACAACTTGGTGAGGCGTCCAAAGTGAAGGGATCTGCTTCTGTGCCTCGCAACCAAGCAAACACAATAACGTGTGCTTTCAAGAAAGACGTGCGTGGGTTTGAGATTTTGTTAGGCTTTCGGCTTTAAGATTTGAGGCTTAGGAACCCTCCAGGCGGGCCGCATAGGGGAATAACTCTTCTAGTATGTTGAGAGCGTTAAGTTGTTGGGATTGGGATTCCCTTACATGACCACAATTATGGGTTTAGGGTTTGGGGTACCCGTATGCCTCGTCAGACAGCCTTTCGAAACCTTCGCAGAGCAAGGGCACCGTGTGAATGTCATTCTTCCAGGCGGTTACGATCTCTCCCGCACACCAGCCTGTAGGGCTAGTTCCGCGCTTTTTGTTCCTTCTTAAACTGTTCATAAGGAGAGACTATACTAGACTTGAAGATCAAATTGCCCAGCAACTTCTAGACAGCAGCTCTCCGGTGAGCACCACGACCACGTTCTTTGTCGATGTCCGGATGATGTCAAACAACAAGTCGAGGTTCTGAAGCTGGTCGCTGTCCAAGAACACCTACTGTAGGCCATACAGCAGCGCCGTCACAACAAGGATAAAGTTGTCCCATTCATCTCTTTAGAAGGGAGAACCTTTAACCCCAAACCCTAAACCGTAAAACCCAAACCGCGTCCCCTAAACCTCAGGTCGAAGGGTAGGACTGAAAAGTCAAGCCGCCCGGGCGGAAGAGTGCTGCAGAATCACGAGCTTCATCAAGCGGCTCAAGCTCCCACCCCCTGCCTTGTGGTGACCTTACTTAAACGCTCACGGGACTTAGTGACTTAGTAAGTAAGGGTATAAGTAGGTGATCAGAAGGATAACCCCACTTAGGGGACTTATAATCCCAATGATAACCTACTTACTCAGTCCCAATGAGCCTTTAAGTAGTGCTCTTTCTGGATGTTACCAGTGATTTATCTGGTTTTTGGCGGGGTTTCCTGCAAGTTTTTTTAATGATTTGAAAAGACGTAAGAAAGGAGCCGCCATGAATCTATGTTGAGGTCTTACGGTTACCTTTGTGTTTTCCCTGTGTCCGACCAACAACGGAGCAATTAAGATGCTGACATAGGAAGATGTCGTAGAGCTTCTCCCTCTTCTGCCTGATGGCCTTGGATGTTGCTGAAATGTTAAACAACACGGTCAACCCTAAACCCGAAACACTACTATCCCACTGCCCCCCAAGCGTGCACCCGCCCCCACAGCTATACTTTGCGGATCGGGTTTTTGAGGCTTAGGCAGCGATTCAATGGCAACCATGGAGCCTTCACCGCGAGTCTCAGGAAGCCAAGAAGAACCACAAGCAAGATCGACAGGATGGGCACCTGGGGTTTCCCCTGGTATGATAAGTTTAGGGTTACACCCATTTTGATCGGGTTGTCCCTGTGAATAAAGAAGCCCCAAAAAAAGAGTGGTAAAAGGATACTGCGGTGGGACAAAGCTGCACAAAGAAGCCAACCGAGCACGGCCGTGGACGAAGCCTCGTCCAGTAGCAGCAGAGGACCGGCACTGAGCAGAGTGACCTGAGGCTTAGGGTGTAGGTTTCGGTTTAGGGCTTAGGGTTTTGTAGAGCCGTGCAGGGTGTAAGGCGTTTAAAGCTTGGGGATGAAAAAGAGTGTTATAAGGGTTCTGGACCTCCCAGAAACCCCCATGTTAAAGATCTCTGTATTGTTGAAGGTCTACGTTGCTTAATGACAGGGATTTGGAGCCACTGCAAAAACAGTGCCGGCTTAATACTAAAACGGAAGCAGCCTCAAGACCAGCCAAGCAACGAGAAGAAGGTCCGTCAACAGCATGTCGACGCGATTGGCCATTTGTGTTCGCCATGGCGCAGTTTGCCTAGGTTCCCCCATATCTTCTTCATGGTAAGGGCTGCGCAGTTTTGACAAGGTGAACCCGCTTGAACAAGAGCAAAAGGGTACTACGGTTGATGATACAAATCCTGCATTACCCATACAAGGAACATACCATAATTTCCATAGTCTGGGGCCATCAAGGTAATGCAGGATATCTATCATCAACCGTACTGGGGCGCCAGTTGCAAGGACAGGTTCTGGACAGCCAGCAACATGATGCCCATTAACGGTACTTGAACTTCCGGCACGCCGACCAGAACCGTAGGCAGAAGAGCGATGATAGCATTGCGGTAGAGGAGGACCAAGCCGTAGTAGTAGGACCTAGCTCATGGTTGGCATAGTATTTAAAATCTAATTTTGCATTCCTTATTGGGTTGAATCAAGTACTCATAAGTATTCTATCCACCTATGACAAAGGGGCGAAGGCTTGAACCTGTGAAGAAGGAAACGGTATCGCGTGGAGAAGCGAAGCCCCTTGCCACCGGCTACACGCGATGGATACGTGAAGATGACGTAGGTGGCCAACACCAGGATAGCCAAGGGCTGAGTCACAACTCCTCACAACAATGTGGAAAGATTCGGGATTGCACCCTAAGCCTCAAACCTTGAACCGTAAACCCAAATCCTAAACCCCTAACCCCAACCTACACTTTCAAACCTTAATCCTAAACCTTAAGTTGACTGGAAACCCAAGACCCTAAATATTGGGGCCGTACTAGTAAAATAAGGTTTTGGGGCCCATTGTACTATGCTTATAATAAGGAACCCTCACAATAGTATTGTTTAGGCCCCTATATCAGACGGATTAGGGTTTAGGGCTTAGGGTCGAACTGTCAACTCAAAACCGAACCCCAAACCCGCACACTCCCTCCACTCCAAGCTTAAACCGGAAACTCGGACTCGAAACCCCTAAACTCCAAACCGAAACCTAAACCTCACAAATCGGGAAGTGTACTTAGTTTTAGGGTTTAGGGGTTTAGCTTTTTGTTCGTTTGGATTAGGATGTTGTCTTGCAAGCAGGGCTCCTACCACAGAAAGTGCAGCAAAGAGGGCATGCTCCTCCGATTGGTAGCCTGGGCTGTTGCTCAAGGTTCAGGTGCGTTTACGGCATAGCCTAAAAGTCTCATGATGACTCTATAACATGAAAACCTAGGTTTTTGGAGGAACGTAGTTTGACTTGCCATACTAGAGACACACATTCATGATGTATATGTATGCACGGATGATATATGATGCATACATATATACGTGTGTATATACATAATACATGCTTGTCTGGTTATAGTGGTTGAAATAAACTGCCTGAACAAGAACCCAGCAGCAAATGATGCCCGGGTGCAGCATCATTGAGCTAGTTCCATTTGGGTTCTCGACACACTGAAATGGAATCAGGGTCGCGCGGGTGATGGACAGGAAGAAGGCAAAGATCATCACTCCACACTGATTCAACACCGTGTTGAATGGCTTGTGACGTCCGAGCATCTTCTGCAGGACCCAAGCACACAGTAGCAGAGCACAAGCCACCGGGCATGTAAGCAATCGGCCGACAAAATAGAGTACGGGATTGTCGGTGCCGAAGAAGCAAGAAGTGCGGATGAAATGGAAGTCGAACATCACCAGCTTCGTGAGGTTGATAAGAGTCGCCACTGGCTCCTGCCCCGTGATGCCTTACAACAGGTTTACCCTGAAGGAAGATCTTTGTTTCTCATGCATCCCTATCATTCGCCAACACCCTTCAAACCCACAACCTCAGAGAAATCTGAATTCCGCTTAACCATAAACCTCACATTGAATCAACTTCGACAAACCCACTTAACTCCAAACCCCCAACCATAACCACTTCGAAACTCACCGGCTCCTGCCAGTTGATGGACAGCTCGCCTGGGTGTCGATATCAACATCCCCCCCGGTTTAGGGTATAGTCGTTCTCCAAATAAACAGTAAGGAAACTGACAACCAGACCCTAAACCCTAAGCCCTATTGAAAAGTAAAGCATGCTAGGCTGAACTCAAAACCCTATACCGTAAGATTAGCAATTGCTCTCCAGGAATTAGAATCGGTTCTCGTCACTTTTAAAAGCCCTTAAACCCTAACACTGAACCCTAGTCGCAAACCCTCAAATCCGTACCTAGTCTCGGATCGAACCCAGGGATTGGATGGCCATGAGCAGCTGGCTGGTCAGTGAGGCCGCCGTTACGGTATTCAGACCTTCAGTTCAGGATTTAAGGGTTTAGGCTTTTAAGGGGGGTGTAGGGCTTAAGGGGTTAAGGGGTTAGGGCTTTATGGTTTAGGGTTTTGGGTTGAGGGTTACGGGTCAAGGGTTTGGGGCTTCAGGGGTTCAGGGCCTAAGGGGTCAAGGGGCTAACTTTGGGGTGCAGTGGCTTAAGGGGTTTAGGGTGTGGGGCTTATGGGGTGAAGGGGTTAAGGGTGCGGGGTTTTCGGGTTTAAGGGTTTAGGGTGTTGGTAGGGTTTGGAACTGTCGAGCTGTAGAAGCATTTTGTCATTCAAAAAGGTCTTGCTGGGTTGCAGAGCTTTTGCAAGAGTTCTTAACGCTTTATGATTTTCTGATTGTAGGGTTTCTGGTTCAGAGTTTAGGAGTTTAGGGTGTAGTTTTTTTTCTGGTTTACGGTTGTTGGAGCCATCACTGAGGAGAGCCACATATTACTGCAATATCGGCAGACTTTGTAAAGCGCGAACTCCAAACCCCAAACCAACATCACGATAATGACGCTGCAATCTCTATCCAAACAACACCAGATGGTTATATATCCTCGATAATCTTCGTCACGTGACCCTACTCGAGGAACTACGTAGATGATCCCGGGCTTGCGCAGAAGACCACCCAAAACTACTGCCACTTTCGAATTGGGTTATGCTGCAGAACAACATTGCAATAAATCTGCGAAACCAATTCGACACAATTTTGCGAGACACTGGGAGTCATGTCGCAGTCATGTCACGTGCATATCAGAGGTTTCAATGATTTGGGTTTCATCGTATGTTCGGGCCGCAAGAACAGCAGCCCGGAACCCCCGACACCGAAACCTATTTTTTGGCGGAGTTTGTCTCTGATGTAAGCCCCTAAACCCTGAACCCTATATAAAACCCCAGCCTTTGATGCAGCAAGGCACTCACTTGACTTGGATCCCAATTGGAGTTACTCACGAAGGCGAGGAGGGCAAGCAGCATAATCAAGAGCAAGATGACCGGAAGAGCATCCCCCTCACGACAACGTTCACACGTTGAGCCTGGGGGGCAGCCACAACCCGTATAGCCTTTTTTGCGGCCCTTTTAGCAACTTCCATGGTAGCCCTTGTAATAACCGTAAGTGTAAGTGTTATAGCAACCCGCATAGTGACCCTTATAGTAACCTTTATAGTAACCCTTGTAATAACCTTATAGTAACCCTTTACAATGTACAGTAACCCTTATAATACACCGCGTAGTAACCCTCGAGCCTCGGGAGTAGTAGCCCGGCTCGCAGTTGTTACACGCCTGCCCCTCTCCTGGGTTGTGGTTGTGGGCACCTAAAAACTATCTATGAATAGGCACCTTTACAGGAACCATACAGGGAAGTACACCTCTAGAGGAACCATGAAAGAAAACCCTAAACTCTAAGCCCTGAACCCTAAACCCTCACCCTAAACCCTAAACCCCTATACTCTG